GCATTGACACAATCCTATCTCTGAGGTCTACGGAGAGTTCCTTGGACTTCATGGCTTGGTTTTTACTCTGCCATGCGCCGTGAACTGTGGAACCATATAAAGACAGTTGTGTCCCTTTCTAAATCATGTCCAATCAAGTGAATTTGCCACAGGTGGACTACAATCAAGTTCTAACCCTAACCCTAGGGTTAGAACTACAATCAAGTTGACATCTCAAAGATGATCAAAAGAAATAGGATGCATCTGAGCTTAATTTGGAGTATCATAGTAAAGGGTCTGAATACTTACATAAATGAGAGATTTCAATTGTTTATTTTTAATACATTTGCAAAAATTCCTAAAAATGTGTTTTCAGTTTGTCATTATGGGGTATTGTGTGTCAATAGATGGCAAAAAAGATTAAATTCAGTACATCCAAAAATAAGTCAACAACACAACAAAGTGAGGAAAAAGTGGAAGGGTCTCAATACTTTCTGAAGGCACTGTAGATATATGTATTTAGCTGGTTGTTTTAGGGTATTCATTTTATATAACAGTAATTAAATGTTCAATTCACATTCATGTTCTCATAACAGGGTATGGGGAACCCCATCCCCTGGACAGTCAAAGGTGATAAAGGTGTTAAAAATTCAAAGGGTTGCCTGTGGCAGAGTTCAGCACATTTTAAGTTAATGAGTGACTATAAACAGCAGTAGCACCTGTAGCAGCTGTATCAATGTTAGTTGTTTTATAATAAATTATATAATCATAATTATTATAAATGATAATAATTAACATATCACGCATAACAAAACTGTGAAAGATGCAGACCTTAAATTTAGATTGGGTATCACCGTAGGTGTCCAAACAGTTCAGTGAAATAAACTGCAATACAGTCAGGCAGACAGATTTTAAATTCTTCAAGCAAAATTAGCTCTTTAAGGTTTGTCAAAATCAGATTCTTTGCAAGCAGTACACGACTTCTCAAAAGATACCCCTTTCTCTCATCCAAACAAAGGTTTGATTTTTTTTTTCAAACCCTTGGATGGTATGCCTCAGGAACTCCTTCATAGTGTAATGCAAACAAAAGAGCTGCTGGGCACACCGTGATCTTGACATGCAGGTGTGACGTAGAGTCCACAGCATCTGTTTTAAAAGGTTTTGTGTTAAGATTTCTATCTGTATAACTGTTAGTACAATGGCAAATATAATTGATGTTCTACTGTTTAAAGTTTAAGAGAGCAAGGTGGCTTTCTGCTCAATTACAGGAGATCTATAGTACAGTCAGATAGATTTTAAATTCTCTAACTACATTAGTTGTTTGTCAAATTCACCTACAGTACTATGCGCAGTACACGACTTCTGAAAAGGTACCTTTTTCTCATGTGCAAACTCATCAAAAGTTTAAATTCGATAATTCCGAAACTTGGATGATATGCCTCAGGGACTCATTCATAAACTAATCAAACAACCCCCCCCACAGAGTCTCACCTCCCACCCGATGTTTCACACACACAAATCCCATGAAGTGAGCTCCACCGATTTACCGAAACACTAGCGCACACGGCAATGAACGGCAGTGAGTTTGCATACTGTATAAATATACTGTATGTACAGTATGATATTGAATGGTTTCAAAGCCAGTACAGTACAGTATGTGTAAAATATTAATTTAAGGACGTAAATATAATATATTTATATAGCTGGTAGTATTACCGTAGATCACGGTATACTTCCAGTCCAAATACTGTTCTTAATCAAAATTTACAAATTAAATTTCTCATTGCTGAAATGTGTATTAAGACAAAAATAGCTTTTCTTAATGCAAATGTAAACATGAAAGAGGGACATCGCATTCACAACAAGCTATAATAACAAACTATTTTTACACATCCGGCTATGTAAAATATATAGCCAAAAGGATCGCTATAAAGTACAATTCCAAGCTGAAAAGACAAGACTTCTCAGACTTCTGAAGAAGACTTCTGTCTTCTCTATAACTCTTCAGTTTACAGCTTGTCCATGGTCATTCATTATTAAAATTATTAATAATATATTCCACATTGCATTTAAATTGGAACGTTTTTCCATATATCAAAAGAGGAGAAACACAACATGTCTCCTCTATAACTCTTAAGTTTACAGAATAATTCCTGAAGAAACACACAACATTGCCACAACATAGTAAACAATAGTCGCTGGCTCACTTAAAAGAGTAACGTCTGTCTTCACTATCATGGTAAGGTTTCAACATATTGATAAGCTGTTCCCTGGTCACTGGGAATTATAAAAATAACCCTTCTTCTTCCTGTTTAACTTAAAGAAGTCAGTGAAGAAATCGTTAATCATGAAACAATCATTTATAATAATTCATCCAGATACACACACTCACACCAATTTTGCCAGAAACAACCTCCAGTACATCTTTAGACTGCGCAGTACTGTACAGTATAATATACAGATGCAGCCATTCAAAACAAGCGGGCGATACCGCATTATTTTGCGGTGTGCTTTACACAGTCTACCTTGAGTTACCGTAAATTCTCGTATAGTACCGCAAGTCAAATAATAGTATCCGGAATTTCCGCAAGGTGGAGCTAATAAAGCAAAAACCTCTCATGTTTGAGCTGTCGCCATCAAAGTCTTTAACGAAGATATTACTAATAGTATTAATAATGAATGACCTTGGACAAGCTGTAAACTCAAAGTATTG